ATAAGCTGCGGTTTTTTTTAAATCAATAATTACTATTCGAGTAATAACTGTTGTAGTAAAACTTAACACTTTATCCTACGCCAAGATATCTACTTACCTAGCAACAGTATCATCTTAAATATTATGCTCACGTTAAAAATCATTAAAAAAAATATTCAAACATTTTTGTATTTTGGTTTAATGTTAATTTAATTACATAATATTTACTTAACTACCACTGCCACCTGCATTGTAAATAGAGAATCAATTTTTTCATTAAGTAACAACAATGTGTAGTTGTTGGTTTGTGTGTGTGTGTATGTGTCTGTGTGTGATTGTTTTAATTATTAAACATTTAATCTGAAACACACGCGTGCACATCACAAAAATGGAAATAAATAAAGTTTCAGGGAAGCTGACTTCAAAACGATAATTTTTTATTACAGTGCCCCTGTATATCCCAAAGGCACACGTTCTTTCACGGCTGCTAAAACGACAGGTAGCGTATTCAAAATATATGACAAAAGCAAGATGGGCAAAAAGATGTCACTTACGCTCCCATCAGAAAATCGGTAACGTACGAAATAATTGTTGAAGCTATATCAAAGCAAAAGTATTTACGTTCTAAACATTACGTTCTCATTTAGACATTCCCCCATAAATATTAAAAATATATAACTGTATAAAAATACTTTTTCTCCTTTGGGCGTTTATAAACGTTGGATTTTACTGCGCCCTTCGTAGGGAAAATAGAGTTCGCATCTGATTTGCATCCAATCAAGGCAAGCACAAGAAATGCCTGGTGCTTGCTCTGAAGACATGTGCTATCAGGTATAAAAACTGACATTCTTTGTTCAAAACTCTTAGTTGATTTTATATAGAATGATACTTTGCTAATTGTTTATAACGTCATGTCATGTATGCTTTGATCCAGAAAGCAAGAGATTTAAAATTGATTTCTCTCAAAAGCAACTCTATCAATAGACCAGAAATATTTATTGTGCTGAAACAAGTAATTGCTCTCGCACTACTACCAGAAAATCAAATTGGCGAAACGTTTCAGGACATACGAAAGATTTGCGAAAGTCAGTATGGTGATTATTTCACTCAATTCCTATCTTACTTTGAGAAAGAGTGGTTGAAGATGTGTGGAGTACGATATTTTTCTGTATCTAAAATGTATGAAGATCGTAGCAATAACATCACTGAATCTTTTTACCGTGATATAAATGATTCGTTGCCTAAAAATCCACATGTTAATCCTTTCTTGTGTAAGTATTATTTGACAGCAGTATAAAGTATACTATGAACACGTCCATGTATCATCACATTCCCTTCGGGGCCAAAGTACTTTTCTGCCCTAGGGCTTAGAGTGATTAAAGTGATTTTCGGGATGTAAAATTACACTTGGCGCCCTCGGTAAAAAAAATTTTATACGCAACTCGAGCACAAACGAACAACAACCTCGCGCTTCGGGTGCTAGTTTGTACTTTGCACTCTAGTGGCATTATGTATCATTTTTTACTGATTCCGTCATGTTTGTAGACATTAAAGTTGTCAATTAAATGCCATAAAATTTATAATACTCGAAAAAACATCCATTTGTGCAATAATAATATAACTAAATAAAGTATTAACTCCACAGCTAATATAAAACTTGTTACTGGTAACTTCTCACGTTGAAAAAACATCAGTAGAAGAAGGCACCTAAAAGTCCCGAGAAGTTGAAAAAACAAAAACAAATAATGAGAGCTTCAAGGAATTTTGGAGTATACTTGAAGCGAACTTAGATTATGTGGTTGACAATACGAAAAGCAACGCCCTAATCTACATTAATGAGCTACCAAGTATGAAGACACTGTTTGCGCAAGAAAAAGAAAATGCAAAAAAATTAATATCAAAAATAACAACTACTTCTGTAGAAAATGTAAACAACCATAAGTTCCAAGATGTTGTATATATTAATGTAGATGTCAATGACCTTGATTCGTTTTCCATTATAATTTTAAAATTACGTAGATTGTATACACTCAACAAAAAAAATGTTGTAATTATTAATAATCCGCTATAAAATTAGCTAATTAAAATACATTTCAGTTTTTCTAATAGCTTAATATTATTTTTTTCTCACAAGAGTTTATACTAATGCCTTGTATGTTCCATTTTCTTATGCTATTTGAAGCTCCTAAGAGTGAGAGAGAGGTTCATTACGTGACCACATTTAACCACTCTCTCTCACTCTTAGGAGCTTCAATGTCAGTCTGGCAGACTCCCAGACTCCATCTAAACTCACTGTTAGTAGTGACGGATTTTAGTACATTCCAAATCTATCATCTTGAACTGATTTCAATAAATTCTACTGGCTCTGAAGATTATTTAGTCGATTAAAAAGGAATGGAATTTCATCGTACATTTAGATGATTTTATTCTCAAACGATCTTCAGCGTAAAAAGTAACATTGAAATTCGTCGATTTAAATTGGCATCGTAAATTAAGTTAATGAAATTTACCATTCATTTCAAACAACATCGATAATGATTTTTTCTTCTTTAGTTAAACCGATTTTAATAGCAGTTTAAACTATTCAGTTTAATCGCCAGTTAGCGCACGCGAATCTCCCAGCGCTCACATTCCATTACAGGCTAGCGTACGCTAGTTAGCGCACGCAAGTCTCCCAGGGCTCTTACTGATGTACTCTGGTGCCAGCTTTTGTTCTTAACGTGCATTACACTACCTTTCAGCAGTTCGTTTCGGTACTATACGTATTAGTGTATCCATGACTTAGGCATAGCCGTAGCCAACCTCGCGACAAAAAATAACTTTTTGTCTGTATGGAAATTGTCGCCGACCCCATTCTGACGATTTTAGCGAGGGACAATTTCTTTCACTCGACGGCGCCACCTGACATAGGCGCATAGTGAATACCTACTACATCGGAAAAACATTTTAGATCCCTTTGAGTTATGAGGTTTTTTAACGTTTAAGAAATTGGCGACAGATAATTTTTTGCCGTGCCTGTACCCCAGCTCCTAATATATTTTCATTAAATACCCTACCTGAAAAAAAATAACGGGATTCCATGTGGAATTTAGTTTCGTGATTTCTTATGTAATTCCATATGGAATAATACATGGAATTACTAATTGGAAAAAAAAAATTTGTCTTTTGGAAACAACTGCAAAATACCCAAGTAAGTTATTTGCAGTTAACACTATATGAATTACCGTGAAAATGATAACTCCATAACAAGGGGATTCGATTAATTTTGCTTTTAGATGAAAAAATGAGATTTTTTTATTTATTTTTTTTTTTTCCTGAAATATTACTTGAATCTCCTTGTTTTAAAGATATCATCCAGACAGCATATGACGTATTATGGTATTATGCAATTATATCTAGATGACAAAAATTTTTTTTTTTTCCAATTTGTAATTCCGTGCATTTTTCAATATGAAATTACATATGGCATCACCAACCTGAAACCTCTTATGTAATACCATACATAAAACTATTCGTAATGCCACTTGGTTGTCCTGAAGGTACAAAAGAAGAATACCACGTAGAATCCCGCTATGTTTTTCCAGGTGGGACTCCTATGGGCACGAAAGATTATAGAGCATAAGGTTTTAGCCTACACAACATGACTTTTTTAAATTATTATGCAAAGAAAAGATAATTCCTTATTTGCTCACTGCAAGTAACCAAATGTGGATCAAATCCCTCGCCTTTGCTACCACCCTTTGAGAAGCCTCAAATTATGCGATCAGATAATCAAAACCGTGTGAGTAACATTTTTAATGTTAAAAGTTATAAATTTAGCATTTACGAAGAATGGATAAGGGAAGCACGGTCCAAAGCTGACATGTCTATCTTTTCAAACAAACAGCAGACATGCAGAACTTAGAACAAGTTTTGGTCTAATTAATGCATTTTTAAATAAATAATTATTAATACTCATAATAATTACAATAAAAAATATTAAATATAAACATTCGTATTGTACTGTACAATTATGGACCATTCACAGCATTATATATATCTATATATGTGTGTGAGTGTGGGCCTGTGTGTATACATGTTTACACTGTTTACTGCTTACCTAAAACCAGCTAAAAAATGTTACTGTTATAGTCATATTAAAGTAACATTCGATTGCTTTGCATTGTACATTTTATTAGTTATTCAGAAATTAATAAAGTTTATTAAGCTAACAAAATAAATGATTGCTACTTCATAAACATTCTGTAGTTATCGTTTTCTCTATTTACACCACTGACACTATAGGTTAAGTAATGGAAGGAGTGTCACTTAGTCACTTTACCAGAAAATATAGAATGTATCCCATAGACATATAAGACAAAAAGACTGCTCGTTCTTATGTACGGCGCTGAAGCACAAGTAGAAGAAGACATAACATCGAACGCGGGTCTGTGGTCAAAGGCATGATGTAAGTAAATAAGGTGTCTGAGTGTGTGACCCAACTGATTCATACATTGAGACATTGAGACTGTTTCTACTACCTATCTACGATCTGAGCCCTAAAAGAAGTTAAAAATTAAAACCAGCCACAACACTTTCCTGAATTAAAAACTCTATGCTTCGTAGAGATTACATTACATACTAATCATGTAATTATTGTAAAAATTAACTTGCAAAGTCGTGGCTATAGTTTTGCTTTTGTGTAGGGGGTCACATTTTTTTGAAGGTCAACGTTTGGATAAAAGAAAAATTTTTATTTGCCGCAAACGGCAATTCTAGTCTTTAGTTGTATAATTTGCGCCATCTGTTGATTTTTGTTGCGGCTGGTTTACAGAATTAACACAGGGTACTGCTTGAATACTCACGTATAACTCATAATTCAAATTTAACATAAATAAAATATTTTGAATCTTCACAAATTATGAAGATTCCTGACTGCATTAGGAGTTGCGGCTGGTTTCAATTTTTGACAACCCTCGAGCTTCTTTTCAGCTATTGGTCTAACTGCTTTAAATGAAAGAAAAAACATTGATGAAATGAGATAGGGTATATGGACAGTTTTGTTTATGAAAAGTAGAGTTTTTAAGTACGAGCTACATTTTATTCTTATAAACAAAATATTCATCGATAGAAATTGGATAGTTAGAAAAGAGAGAAAAAGATAAGTATTTAAGGAAATTTAAATGAGTGCGTTCTTGCTATACGTTTTGAATGGATATCTTTGGAGGAAAGAACGTGTGAGCGAGAGGGAAAACAACCCCTCGAGTCTCACCCCTGCAGATCTTGCCAGGACGTAATATCATGGCTGCTTATGTACTACGAAATTATGACTTGATGTTTAAAGTTTTAATCTTAGGTATTTTCAATTGTGGAAAACAGTACTGTTTATGATATGCTTGGTGGAATGTGCTAGGCGCTCCAAAATTACATTGAAGCTGTATTGTATGAAATTAACGGAACTTAATGCTTTTAGCCATCTTCTACTTCCAGTTTTGTATATTGCTTTTACATATTTAGTCATATACCAGTTTATTTTAAATTTTATAAATTTTATTTAGTTCACTTAATTAAAATCAGTGAATGAGATGACAGAAATCCGGCTTTGCAGCTATAAATTGTTACCAATGCAGTTTGATGCTATATGTTGTTCATAGATATTTAAATTATGATAACTGTTAAAGAATATAGGTGATGATACCACTTATTAAAATAATATTACCATGACGAGTGAAGATCTTTTACAGCCTGGTCATGTAGTAAAGGAACGATGGAAAGTTGTAAGTTTTATGTAGTGTTATTTGATAAGTTCTTACTTAATCATTATGATTTTTGTTTACACTAGTGACTTATTGAAACTTTGCTTCAATTAATTATATTATGATTCAGAATGTTTTTAATTGGAATAAACAAATTCTAAACTAATAACCTAATTATATTTTTCATACCTAACCATGAGTTTTAAGGAAATCTATTGATTCATTAAAATTATCTGATGCCACTGTTAATATAAATTAATATAGGAGACTTGTTGACTAATTTTTATAGTTGAAGAGGATATAAACTTGAACTGTATAACCAATAACTCTTCTGGATTATCTAAAAATAGTCATAGGGTTTCAAAAATTTTTGTTTAGCTCTACTACAAACATCTATTTGAGTGCATGATATATGTGCTAATGGCAAATTTCTATTACTTCTTAAACGTTTTTATGCATTATTTTTCTTATAATATGCATTAAATAATTAAAGAACTGTTTTTTTTTCTTATGCATTTTAAGTAAACACTTATTATTTCAATTATGTTTAGCTTGGCATATGAATTTCAAAAACTCAAATAATTGAAATAAATATTTATCCAATACGTTTCTAATAGATTAAAAAAATTGGTGGTGGTGGATTTGGAGAAATCTATGAAGGATTAGATCTTGTTACAAAAGAACAAGTAGCCTTAAAAGTAGAATCTGCTCGACAACCAAAACAAGTTTTGAAAATGGAAGTGGCTGTACTTAAAAAATTGCAAGGTAAATTATCTTATATTTAATCAATTGCTAACATTGCTCAAGAGTTGCATTCGTAAACTAGATATTAGTATTTGCTTCCGGTATGCTTTAAATTCTTCATCAACCAAACATAATAAGCATTTAGTAGAATAATACTCTTTAGTTATAACTTCTCTATTATTTTGTTATATTGATGTACTCAAAAATATAATTTTATTATTTTGTTTTAAAAAAACACTTGTACAGCGTTGTAAAATAGAGTAAATTATATCTGATAATTTTACAGTAGGATTCGTATTCTTTTAAGAAATGTGATTGTGATTTATCTACTTTGCAGTTATTATTTCAATTTATGAATTTTACCACATTCAGATTAAAATACAGAGATATTTCAAATCTAAAAAGTAGTAAATTCAAAAATAAAATGTAGATGTATCTTATCATTATATTAAGAAACTACTGAAATAATTAATCCCAAATTTTGTCGGAAGGTTAATGACAAGTTCTTATGTGTCATACACTTTTTTAAATTAGCAGTAACTGTAAAAAAAGTTATTATACTACTTACAAATAACGTACTGCAAAATAGCTTGGCAAGGGCGTTTTTTCTTTTAACTGCTACAGGTCGAGTTATGCTTTTCAATGTTACTTAATTATTGTTAGTATGTATACTTGTATACACTATGTAATATGTAACTGTAAGGAACCTTAAATTTAATTGACTATACTATATCGCAATAAAAAGCTGTGAATCCAAAAATCGAAGTACTCCATATAGGTACATTTAATTATAAAGAATCTATTACTTGAAAAAACATTGGGTTGACTCATTAAATTTTGGAAAAATATCAAGGAAAGCACCTACTTAATTTACGAGTGGTTTTGTTCAGGTACTGAAAGTGCACACGTTGCAGCAGTACATTGGTAAGATGGTACGCCATTTAAATAATGGATTTTCTTGGTAATTTTTTCGTGTATTATTGCTTTGTCGTTAACATATGTGTATAACAAATATAATTTAAAAAAATAAATAAAAATAACCCTTTAAGTACCCCACACTACCACAGCCTTCTAAAGTTGGTTCTTTCATGAAATTTATGAACACAAAAAAATTATACATATAAATATTAAATTCGAAACATGTGTTCATATGGCAACTTAGCATTCCTTTACTGAAATTTGTAGCCTAGTTATTTACTTATTGAACATAATTATGTAAAAAACTGACACAATAAAACTTACGCAATACTGAACATACTGCTATCTCGAAATACATATATTCATGGACTTAATAAAAAGGTATTAAAAGAAACACGGGCATACATTTGCGTTTCCTATGTTGGAAGCATAAGCAAGCATCTACAGCTGGTATTTTAAGGTTAAGCGCAAATAGATAATCGTTCCTACGAAATTTTATGTCGGATATCATGATCTAATATTTCGAATGAGTACTTAATTTGACTAAACGAACAATATTAACAAATAATCGTTTAAAATTTAAGCAGTATTAAGAAATATCAACTTGATAGTTGCACCTTTGACTCAGGAGTCTTGAAAGAACCGCCTCAAACAAAGTCCTCGAACATACCTAATCCATAAGTATTTGATAAATTTGTTTTTTTATGCACAAAGAGAAATTTTAGACTGAGAGCTCACATGTCTACCCGGACTCATACAGTTCAATGTAAAAAGGCTCCTACAGCCCGATGATTAGACTAATTCAGTTAAGGAGGCTCCATCGCCTACTGCGGTAGTCAATTCAGTGACGATCGATGCGATGTCACTAGACGAAAGCTTCCTCTTATACTAGTAGTATGTTGGTAATAAAGTTTGTTTTATTTTCAACTGAATCCACCTGCTATTATATATAGTTTACTACATATTGATACAGTCAGCTGTCGAATAATTTAATATTAATGATTGCCATAATTAATTGCGTTATTACCCAACAAATAAAAATTGAAAAATCATTGTAAAACTTATCATGTTATTTGACAAATTCAAATTTTTTTTATTGTGCGCGCTCCCTAGACCCATATGGCCGGCAGTGTTTGTCACTCACTCATCGAACGTAGTTGCAGACCAAAATAGTATTTTAGCTATTGTATAAATTTTTTCATCGCCAACGCCTTTAAAGTCACCCGGTTTCTTAAAGATGAGAGTGTCAGGGTTACGGTAAGTATATTTTTTTTGCTTGTACATTCCATTTTAGTGGTTTAATTGATAGTCAAATGTTTGCTTTAGGCCTTCGGCCATAAAACTGTGTTCAGCGAGCTCGAAAAGTGCTGACTTTGAATTGAATTATCTCAGGATTTTGATCGCCAACCCAGAAAAATAAAGATACCATTGGATTCAGCGCGATCTCAACTTAAATAATATATCAGTCAAAGTTCTTGTACATTCCGTGATGGAGCCTCCTTAAACGCAGTGTTTAGTTCTGAAAGCTCAAAGGATGGAGACGCGAGCGAGCCCAAACCTTTAGGCTGCAGTCACATGGAGCGCAATAGAGCGAGCAGGATAGGAATTTCTCCATAAGTGGCTGTGTTAAGTCTATTGCGCCACGCAATAGGGCTATCCTGCAGCGCAATAGGCTTGACACAGCCGCTTATGGAGAAATTCCTATTCTGCTCGCTCTATTGCGCTCCATGTGACTGCAGCCTTAAATTCTCTCATGACAATCCGAGGGCTCATGACCTGACGATAAGTATGTAGATATAAATCGGTATTATCGCGAAAAATAGTCAAAGATAAACGATAAAGAAAGTAAAAACACACACACACACACACACACACACACACACACACACACACACACACACACACACACACACACACACACACACACATATATATATATATATGTATATAATGTAGCTTCTAAGACGTAAATTTTATTAGCAGATATGTTGCAGCAGTGGTCAGGTGAAAGGAGAAATAAATGTTCTGTTAATTAAATAACTAATAACTTGTTAAAAGAGCTCTTATGTATTCTTTAATGGATACACTGATCAGTTTTGTACTAATTGTCGCTTGTGCCAAATATAATAGACATCCAACGGCCTTTCTATACGGGATCTTCTTCAGTTGGTTGATTCCAATTGCTGAGCTCGGTAAAGGGGCTTCCTCCAGATTAGTGCCTGTAGCCGTAGGGGTGGAAACAGTTTTGCTGACCCGCATGCCAAAGGTTTTAAGGATTTCCTCGGTGAATTCTTTTTGATCCATCTTAAGGATGCCCTTTTCTCGATCACGCTTAACGGTAATTCCGAGATATTTTTGCAGAGGTCCAAGGTACTTGAGGGGAATTACTTTCTGCAGGGCTTCCTTATAGAATATGGTATATTTTGTACTGTTCGACAGCACAATCAAGTCATCAACGAACACGGCCACAACTAAGTCACCATTTTGTGGACACTAGCACACGCAAGCGTCGTGCTCAAATTGCTTCTGTTATATATCAGTTAGTAGGGCGTGGAGTTTCTCATTCCATGCTTGGCTTCCCTGCTTCAGTCCGTATAATAATTTGTACACCTTGTGCAGAGTATTTTTGACGACGAAGCTTTGTTGCATAAATATCTCTACTTTTAAATCGCTATGCAGAAAGGCATACTCGTCATTAAAGTGGAGTATGTCGAGATTGTACTCAAAGTGCGCATGGTTGTCTCCATGGTCGCGTTACTTACAGTCACGTGCGTATTGCCCAAGGCAATTGCAATTCAAGCAACAATAACCCTTTCGTGGCTTGGTATTGTCGTAGCGCTTCGTGGCCTAGGATGACCGTTTGCGATAGGAGAAAGGAGAGGCCGTATAGAGGCCTCCTAGAGTATCACTCCTTACCTCAGCTGTTTGGTCCTCCTGGAGCCGCTTTGTCTGCACCAAATCTTCCGTGATATCTTGTCCCGATGCTTCGAGTGCCATAATCATTGGTATATACTCGGAGGGAAGTCTGGCGAGTAAAAGAGCGCCTATCCAGTCGTCCGGCAAACTCATCCCTGTTGCGCGAAGTTGCTGGACGGCTGTCTGAATTTTTACGATGAACTCTTCTATCGATATGCAATGTTCGAGGCACGTTGTAAAAACTTTTTGGAGCAATCTTACCTTGCGTTGTAGTCTCCTGTCGTCATACGCCTTGCACAGCTTATTCCAAATAAGTAATAGTGTCTCTAACTCATCTACATGTACGTATATACTTGGATCAATAGAAAGTATTATCCAGGTCTTTGCCTTCACGTTTGCTGCTACATCCTGATTCACCTGCCCGCCCGACGTCGCAGGTTCAATCGTTGACCGCAACTCCTCGAGTTGCAAGTAAACTTTAATGGAAACGGCCCAAGAGTGGTAGTTCTTACGCCCCGTTAGGCGGTTGGTCGCGTGGAAGCCTCCCAGAGCGCTACGCACGGACATCGTGTCTTTCTTTGCGAGTCATACACAGCTTTGCCCTTTTATTGATAATGACCCATCTTGCACTCAGCGCCTGGGCCCATAACTTGATGTTAATAAATCTGGAAGGAGCCAAGAGGGGTGGCGAATGAAATTAGTAAAACAGCTTAGTATACTATTTAATTAGTACTCGCGACGTTATTGATACCTGCTTATCTCAAGATGTACATCCTCACTTGGAGACACTCAGCGCTGTATAACTTCTCTTACTTTTGATTTGCACTATATCGTTTTGTTAACCTAACCTTGGTGTACGCGCAGGTACACAGGTATGTGTATGCGCATGCTCCTGTATATAAATAAGTATAATTGGTAACATTACAATGTTATTAGTCACGGTATATCTCTTTAAATTACTTTTACAAATAATTCATACCTTATTCGATGTATTCAGTATGGGGATGGTGACCGACATAGTTCAAATTTGAGAAAGCACCAGGGAGGAGAGACTCTAGCCAATCAGAAGATCGAGAGGCAGTTTGAAATTTCAGTTCAAATGTTGCGTAAAAAAATGTTTTTGGAATGGTAAAATAATTAGTAATGAATTTTTTGAATCATTTAACTGTACCACCAATTAATCGTAA